GAATACCTGCTCTAAAAATAATCTCTGGAACTCCTGCTAAATGAGCTGTTTAGACCAGCTTGAAATAATAGACTGCTTTAAATAATACAATGGGAGAAGGTGATCCTTGAGTTTTCAGAGTCAGCACTTATGCAAGAATTACAAAGCTAGAACACGTCCAATCAATGGTTGTCTGGTTTCTTCTAAAATATTTCAACTGAGGCAGGAGCTATAGAAGTTAGGTGTTTGCATGCCAGTTGTTTTGGCATGCAATGCCCTATAGCGGTATCTTGAAGGCAGAAGTTGAAACAGTTTATATTTTGAAGATTTGAGATAGTTGTAGATAGTTGTAGATAGTTTCTCAGCCCTCTTCCTGGTTTGTGCAGTGTACAGATCCTCAATGGAAGGCAGCTGGTTGCAGTTGTTTTTTCTGCAGTCCTAACTATCCGTTGAAGGCTGTACCCATCCTGTTTGGTTGCTGTGCCAATACCATTGTTAAGCCAGACATCATGTGACTGTGACGGACTTGCAACCTCACTTCTGCCACAGTTGTTAAGAGAATCACTCACAGTCATTCAGTGAGAGATTGAGTGACTGTGATTTGCAATGTCGCTGCCAGTTTCTCTGTTGACTTTGCTTATTGGAAGTTGGCTGTGAAATGTGCAAACCTGGTCATGGGATATGGTAGTCATAAATCCTCCTGACTATAAAGCACCTAAACTTTTGTCATGTATCTATGGCAGTGGTTCTCAACCTTTCTAATGCCGCGACCCCATAATACAGTTCCCCATGTTGTGGTGACCCCCAACCACTTATACATCACCGGGTGCCAGGGGCGTGGCCAAAGAAAAGGGGGAAAAATGGCAGACTGTGTTGTTTGGCGACCCCCGTGAAATGGTCGTTCGACCCCAAATGGGGTCCCGACCCACAGGTTGAGAACCACTGATCTATGGGATGCTGCAATGGTTGTAAGTGTGAGGACTGGCCCAAAAGTTACTTTTTCAGCACTGTTACAGCTTTGAATGGTTTCTAAACAGATCAGTTCTTAAGCAAGGGCACTTGTATCAGAAAAGTGTTATTGGAGCAAATCAAAGGAGGGCAGTGCAAACTAAAATAAAAGCTCCTAGTTTTATTGCCAATAAAAGAGGAGTAGGTTTCTTGGTACTTCTTGCCAGGGAACACAAGTAGGAGATACTGTCTTCCTCATTTTCTTCTCTTGTGAACATATTTGGCCATTCTGGAGAAACAGTGTTGGAGTAAATGGATTTTTAGATTTGATGCAGTGCAATTATTCTTATGTTCTTAAATTTAAAGGTATATTTTACATCCCATTCTATAATTTTTGACTTGGGTTGGCTGTTTTCTTAAGATTTTATCTCTTTGAAATGATCCAGAGCTACGCAACACCCTGCAAATTGCATATGGACAGTGAATATGGATTCTTTGGGAAATGTTGCTTACATGCATTGTCTGCATCATTGCAGTGTATTCTTTTTCTTTGAGTGCCTATAGAGGAGGCAGCAAGACAGTTCAGAGAGAAAACAGGACCTTTTACAGAACAGTTTATAGGGAGTGCTCAACTTACAGCTTAGTTACAATGGCACTGAAAAAAGTGACTTACATCAGTCATTGCTCTTAGGACCGATGCAGCATCTCTATGGTTACATGACCAAAATTTGGGCGCTTGGCAACCAGCATGTATTTATGACAATTGCAGCATCCTGGAATCATATGATAGCCATTTACCATCATCCCAGCCAGCTTCGGCCAAGCAAAGTCAGTGGGTGAAGTTGGATTCCCTTAACTGCTGCAGTGATTCCTAATAACATGGCCAAAAAGGATGTAAAATTGGAAATGGCTCACTTAACAACCACCCTGCTTATCAACAGAAATCTGGTCCCAATTATGGTCATAAGGTGAGGATTACCTCTATTGAGTCCATGGTGGGGAGAAGGGTGAGTACTCCATATTAATCATAGTAGATCAGTATTTCTCAACCTTGACAATTTTAAGGCATGTGGACTTCAACTCCCAGAATTCCACAGCCAGCATTGCTGGCTGTGGAATCCTGGGAGTTGGTCCACATGCCTTAAAATTGTCAAGGTTGAAAACACTAGTAGATAATACATTGTACAGGGGAATTGTTGCCTTCATTAGAGAAGAACTACAGGTGATTTGAAGGGGGATGATAGAGAAAAGGGGGGAGGTCATTGTACAGGGGAATTGTTGCCTTCATTAGAGAAGAACTACAGGTGATTTGAAGGGGGATGATAGAGAAAAGGGGGGAGGTCACCTGTCGCAGTAGAAGACAGGACAAGAAGTAACAGGTGGAATACCTTTTAAGAGAGATCAAACCTAGAATTAAGGAAAAGTTTCCTGACAGCAAGGACAATTATCAGTGAATCATCTTACCTCCAGAAGTTGTGAGTGCTCCATCACTGGAGGTTTTTAAGAAGAGCTTAGACAGCCATTTGTCCATGGTCTCCTACTTGAGCAGGGGGTTGCACTAGAGGACCTGCTAGATCCTTTCCAACCCTATTATTCTATGTTCTATGTCCTGTTTTGATAGGGTTTCAAGATTCTGTTACATTACCCTAGTAGCAACGGTGATCTTTCCAGAAATTGAAGTGGTTCTTGTTTATGGAAGTTGCCAGCCTTTTAGAGCTTGACAGGAAAGAAAGCAAATTGCAGAAGCTATAGGACCATTTCTTTTTTTGAGAAGGCATCTCTTGTTACTCTTATGCCATCAGACCGGCCTTCATCTTATAGAAGTTTTGCCTGACCTCCAAGAAGCATTTTGCATGATGTCAGCTTTGTTATGGTGCTTTTAGTATTTGCATAGCTGGTTGAATATAACTAAGCTATCAGTGCGGTGATCTATTTTACAGCTCAACAGGCTCCACTTAAAACAGATGGTCTCTTGTGCCCAGAAGTTCAGCAGAAAAGATGGAAGCAACTGAGGTGTTTATTAAAAATGGCTGCTTCTTAATGACAATGAATCCATTTGCCAGGGAATTAAAAATACAACATGCTGTGCTTACCATCATTTTTGTTCCTAAACAAAATACCAAATTGTATTTTGAGAAATATAAAAAAAATAAATAACTGGGGTTGTGGGGAGGAGAGGGGAGGGCTGGGATCGAGTATCTCTGTATTCAGAGGGAACAGCCAACATCAAATATCAAAATTAGAATTGTCCCTGTCTGGGATTTAATAACTTCATTTTATCACACCTCCAAGAATTGGCCAGCATTATGTTATCCCTGATCATGCTCAATCCTCTTGCTTTTTTCTGGAGATTGTTTTAAAAGCCCACCCACCCCTCACCCCCATCCTCAAAAATGTTTGGTTCATTTTTGCAGGCTCATGTTCTCCCCAGATTGCTGATCACTGTTTGTTGGTGGGGATGATGTAGTTTTGGGCTATAACACCATGGCAAGCCCAGATTGATAGTTGGAAATAAGGAAATGATGATACATATGACATTAAATAAGGAAGAGCAGTCAATAATTAAACTGTGCCAATTTGTCCTCTCATTCAAGTCTACTTCTGGGTGTGATACGAAGTGGGAATTCAATTGGAGAGGAGATGCGGTAAGAAAGATGCAGATTCATTACAGCTAAATTATTCCAGCAGTTTTACCAACCTAATAAGCCTAGCTGAGTTATCTGGAATTTACTCTATTTGGGTAACTACATATAATATTGTAGCTAATGAATTAAGAAAATCTTCGTGCAGATATTCCTACTTTGCATAATCTAGACCAGTGATGGCGAACCTTTTAGAGACTGAGTGCCCAAACCACAGCCCAAACCACAAAGTGCCAGGGCTGCACCAGCATTTTGGTGCCTTCGGGGGAAGCAGGGAGGCACCTCTGAGTGCTGCCTCTGGCATGCAAAAACCAGGGGTGCAAAAATAGGCCACCGTGCTGCAAGATGCAAAAATGGCTGCCGCCGCACCACAGGATGCAGATACAAGGCGCTGCACCATGCAAGAACGGGGCAGGGCTAGTGAGTATCACGCTGGCACTAGCCCCACCCCATTTGCAGCACGTGCGTGCTCGCAGCCCTGTGCACACATGCACGCATGTACAATGCTTCCCCCTCCCTTTTCTTCCAGTCCACCAATCAACAATGGTTGGTGACCTCTGCTCTACCACCTCTACTCAAGCTTGCTAGTCAGCTGCTTCGCCTCCTTTGTGGTGGGTGGGGCTCCTGCTCCGGGCGGCAGTGGCGGCCTGATGGACCTGCTGCTGGTGGTGGTGGCACACATGCCAATAGAGAGGGCTCTGAGTGCTGCCTCTGGCACGCCTGCCATAGGTTCGCCATCACTGATCAAGGCTGATCACAGAATCCAACGTACAGGTTGTCCTGGAGCCAGAATGTGCTACTGTGTTTCTTTCAACGACCAAGTCTTATTTCAGGACCCTTCAATCAGTCACATCCAGAATAATAATAATAATAATAATAATAATAATAATAATAATAATAATAATAATAAATCATCGCACAGTCAGCCAAATCCAGTCTGAACATCTGGTTGACTGTGCGATGATCCATAATAATAATAATAAAGTTGGAAGGGACCTTGGAGGTCATCGAGTCCAACATCGAGTTCAGGCAGGAAACTCTACACCATTTCGGACAGATGGCTGTCCAGTCTCTTCTTAAAAACTTCCAGTGTTGGTGCATTCACCGCTTCTGGAGGCAGGTTGTTCCACTGATTAATTGTTCTAACTGTCAGGAAGTTTCTCCTTAGTTCTAGATTGCTTCTCTCTTTGATTAGTTTCCATCCATTGCTTCTTGTCCTGCCTTCAGGCGCTGTAAGAAGGGATCCTTGGTGCTCTCCGGTATTGGTTGTTTCCTTGCAGACATTTCATTACCAAACTACGTAGCACCCTCAGTGCATAGATGATGTAAGTTTAGTTTCTTGGCAAAACTGAAAAACTGGAATGTGCAGAGGATGCAGCTTCACTAAAACTACTAAAATCTTGACCATGTTGCTTTTGTCTCTACTTACAGGATTCCACGTGATTCCAACTCTTTCCAGCATCGTTCCTGAGAGCTGCTTACTCATTGTTGTAGGACTGCTGGTTGGTGGGCTCATTAAAGCCGTGGGGGAAACCCCTCCAGTCCTAAATTCCAAGATCTTCTTCCTCTTCCTTCTCCCACCCATTATCCTGGATGCTGGTTACTTCTTGCCCTTGCGCCAGTTCACTGAGAATGTGGGCACCATCCTGATTTTTGCTGTGATTGGGACATTATGGAATGCTTTCTTCGTGGGGGCTCTGATGTATGCCGTGTGCCAGATAGGTGGCCCTTCCTTATCAAACATTGGTCTCTTAGACAGCCTGCTGTTTGGCAGCATCATCTCTGCGGTGGACCCTGTGGCCGTGCTGGCTGTATTTGAGGAGATTCACATCAATGAACTTTTGCACATCTTGGTGTTTGGCGAGTCGTTGTTGAATGATGCAGTTACTGTGGTAAGTAGAGCACAGCTTTGGCAGGGCTGGCTCTGACACGGAATAAAGGAAGACTTTGTGGATTTGAAACACTGTTGAAGGCAGCCAAGGAGGAGGAGACGCCTAAAATGTCTTGTGCATGATTCAACACAATGTTCATACTCTCCAAAAACACACTGCATGTGGACATTGATGTAGGGATTATTAGCTGGGAGATTTCTGTCTCCAGAAGGGATCAGCTGATGGCAAAGAAAGGGTCACTTTGCCTTTTGGTTTGATTCTTAGCTTCTCTTAGTCAAAAATATCCTGTATCTACTCAGGACGATCATTTGATAGACATCAAGTCTTTCAAGTTGAAGGCATCTACTTCTTGTCTTCCTAAATATTAGATAACCCAGGGATAGAAAACACGGTTTGTCTGCAGAAGATCTCAAGGGAAAATGTAAGGAAATCTCTGCCAGTTTAATATGAGCTGTACCATATTTAAGAGAGACCATTTGTTGTAGTTATTAAGGCAGTAAACTGGAAACCAGGAGATCATAGGTTCTAGTTGCTAAGGTTGAGAAGCATTGGATTCGGCTGTAGGCCTTGTCACAGTACATGCGTTGCATTCCATAAGTTTGTGATTCAATCTTGGGAGCTTCAGATAAGTGGGTAAAAAAGGTCCTCTCTAAAGCTCAGAGGACCTGCTTCCGGCCACTGTTGACAGTACTGAAATAGTCAGACTAACAGATTCAGCTGAATATGAAAATTCATTCACTGTAGTCATGGCTAATGGACTTCATAATACATTACTACCTTTTTTAAAAATTAAAGCATTCATTCCAGTCTCTTAATCAGAGATTTCCAAAGTGCCTAGCAATGTTTATTCAAAACCCAATAGAAAACAATAAATCCCCAAACATAATTTGGAACAAATGAAACTAAAATAGCTAAAAAAAGCCTTCCAGGACATCAACAGATGCTTAGCAACTAAAAAAGATGAAGGCTTTCTAAAGGTGAAGCTGACTAAATGTCAGAAACCGAAGGCGAAGTCTGGACAAAACCTTTTTAACTGCATGAAACATAATCATGCATTTGTTTTTAAATGTACTGTGTTATATTTCAGGTATTCTAATACCTTATTTATTTAAAACAAGGTATTCTTGAACTAAGACCATTCATTTAGCGACCGTTCAAAGTTACTATGGCACTGAAAATAATGACTTACAATGGGTATTCACACTTAAAACCAGGGGTCTTCAAACTTGGCCCTTTTATGACTTGTGGACTTCAACTGCCAGAATTCCTCAGCCAGGTACACTGGATGAGGAATTCTGGGAGTTGACGTCCACAAGTCATAAAAGGGCCAAGTTTGAAGACCCCTGCTTAAAACCACTGCAGTGTTCCCATGGTCATGGGGTCAACATTTGGCTGCTTGGCAATTGGCCTATATTTACCAGGACTGCAGAATCCCAGGGTCACGTGACCACCATTTGCCACCTTCCCAGCCAGCTTCCAACTAGCAAAGTCAATGGAGGAAGCAATGGATTTGCTTAACAACTGTGTGATTCATTTAACTGCAGCAATTCACTTAACAACCATGGCGAAACAACCCTTTTACTTGCCAATAGAAATTCTGGTCCCAATTGTGGTCATACGTTGAGGACTATCTGTATATAACTGCCCATCTTTCAACCAATTCTGCGTGCCTCCCAATCAAAAAGCAAAGCAACGCTAACTATTTTAATACTTGAATAAAAGGCCTTTAAGAAATCCCAAGACTGCAGGCTAGATCCAGACACTGCAAAAAGATTTAAGAAGAAGGCAGTGACAAGACAGTGTTTGTCTAGGAAATGTCCATGAAGTCACTGGATATTGAGCTCAATTGGAGATGGGGTGGGTGGAGGACAATGTTTGAAGTGATTTGTAAGATTAAGCTAAGGCATAGCTGAAGTGTGGATTCTAACCAGAATTCCCCAATTTTCAAGCTGAGAAGGATGAGAAACACTGGTATAGAACTGCTATTTTATTTTATTTTATTATTTTATTTTATTTTATTATTATATTTATTTTATTTATTTTATTATTTTATTTTATTTATTTTATTATTTTATTATTTTATTGTATTTTATTTTGTAATGTTTTGTAATGTTTTGTAATCTAGACGGATTACAAAACATTAAAAACAGATAAACATTAAAATGATAAAACAATAATTAACAATAATAATGATAATTCACAATTGAAAGATGGGCGAAGGGAGCATAAAGTACATGGTCTGGTGCCCTTTTCTGTTTGGGCTCCCGGCCAAGTGGTAGAACCAACTTCTCGGGCCCTTATGGAAGGTCAGGAGGGTAGGTGTGGATCTCACCTGGAGAGCTTACAATGAAAAAATGGGCAGGTTTATGTTACATTTCACAGCTCTGTGAGCAATTCAGCACAGATTGGAAAATGTCACCCTTGGTTGAAGTAATCCTGAGTTATGGATGGAAAGATATGGAAGACCAGCCTCCCAGACAAGGGAAATTGGCAAATCAGTACCGCAGCGAGATGTGGACAACTAAACAGCAACTTCTATTATGAGATGGTTTGTATAAAGCAAAGGCCCTGTTGGGGTGACCTGAAAATAAGTTGGTTGGTTATCACTTGGTGTTAACTTGGTTAACACTTGGTGGATGTTTGTTGTCAGTTGGCTGGTTAACAAATTATTGAGAGTTGGAAAGGCAATTGGTTGCTCTCCGTAACTCTCTTGTAGCTCTTCTGAGGTCCAGGTCTCTGTTATTTTAGACATAGGGCCAGCCCCATTATTAGAGAAAGAGTACCACCTCCAACAGCAGATACCAAAGGATGGAGGAAGATTGTGAAGTCTGGAAGGACAATGCTATGTTATGCTTCATGGTCTTTCCTTACCAACTCTTAGAGGTAGGCTGGACAAGAAGCATCAGCCACGAGTACTAACACTACTATCTTTATTCTAAGATTATAGTAACAGTATCTTGCAAGTCTGGAAGTACATCTCTCCCCCTCATTTTTGCAAGTCAGAAACTAGGGAGGGTCTTTTCTGAGACATTTGTTCTTTGAAAGGACAGATACTGAAGCTGAAGCTCAAATACTTTGGACACTAAATGAGAAGAGAGGACTCCTTGGAGAAGACTCAGATGTTGGGAAAGATGGAAGGCAACAGGAGAAGGAGACGGCAGAGGATGAGATGGTTAGATACTGTCATCAATGCAATGAACATGAATTTGGACAAACTCTGGGAGACAGTGAAGGACGGGAGCCTGGCATCTATGGTCCTTGGGTCACGAAGAATCGGACACAGTGATTGAACAACAACAATAAACATGGTCATTGCCTAGTCTATGATTGTTTCTATTTCTCAAGAATACTCTTACAGTCCTGAACTTTAAGCTAGGCTGTTTCTTCAAGGGCAGGAAATATTACTCCAGTATTTGTACTGAAGAAAGAGGGACCAAGTTGGGGCAAGACTGATAGATGGCTTGCAGGCAGCATGTAATGGCACGTGGAAATGGCTTTGAGAGACACCAAAGAAACAGATAAAAGGCTGTTTGATCCACAACAGGTGGGGAAGAGGCTCAGAAAAGACCCTTCTTAGTTTGGGGGCTGTAAATGGAACCAAGAGGGAAGATACGTACTTTGAGACCTGTAGGATTTTGCTAATGTAACCTTACAGTTAAGTAGAATTAGCTCATCTGGTCATGTTTCCTGTCTAGGTCTACCACATACAGCTTATATAGCAGGGGTATCAAACTGCAGTCATGGCGAAACCGCGCCCACCCCATTGCCGGCAATGGAAAAAAAGTCACAATACATTGCAACACCTCACGTGACGCGAGTTTGACACCCCTGTTATATAGCAACACTCAAAGGAGAGTTCATCTTCTCTCAACTTTGCATCTCTTATGGGGTATTACTGCAAACTATTATAACTTGTAGTAATGCTACATATAAGAGCATGTAGAGAAAGAAAAATCTGGAAAAGAATTTTGTCACACACCATTTATATTTTAGGTTGCATTTTCTGGGGAATCTGCTATTGCTTAATGTAAGAGATCTACTGTGCTTTCAGTGACTAATGCAAGGAAGGTCCCTTCCTCCTTCCTCACCAGGAGGCAGTTGAAAGGGCAGAGAGGATGGAGTGGAAAAACTGGCTTTAACCATGTTATTTTATTTATAGCTGGGACAATGAAAGGGCACTAAGAAGTGACTAATTTGTGCAAAGTCACGATTGCTACATGGCCCAAGAAGGTCTCTCTAAATTCAGAGAGGTGCCAAAATGATGTGTGTCTCTCTTCCTTAGTCCAGTTTTCTCCTGTTCAGTTCTCACTAACTTTAGAAGTGAGCAACCTCCCTTGAGTGGGACCCTGCAAATGCTCTGCTCCTATTTCTGAGCTGCAGAAGGGGGGTAAAGTTGGAACTTTGCAACCAGGTCATAAATTCCTTTGGGGGCATCCATTATAACTTCAAATAGTCACTGAGGGACTGGTCGTAAATTGAGGACTGTCTGTACCAGGGGTAGGCAACCTTGGTTCTTTTATGACTCGTGGACTTCAACTCCCAGAATTCCTGAGCCAGCATGGCTGGCTCAGGAATTCTGGGAGTTGAAGTCCACGAGTCATAAAAGAGCCAAGGTTGCCTACCTCTGGTCTGTACTATTAATTAAAGTATTTATTAAATTGTTTTCATATAATAAATGTTTGGAGGTCAATGAACGATCTGGAACTTCATGAAGGGGTCAATGAGCTGAAGAGTTTGGGGACTCCTGCTCGAGAGGGATGGAACTAGGGAAAAATCTCCCCTAAAACAGTTTGAAGTTGAAGGGTCTTGAATTTTAATCCCTCAAGTCAGTCTTGTCTAACCTTGTGTGGACTTCAGCTTCCATAATTTCCCAACCAGCAAGACTTTGCTAAGAATTCTGGGAGTTGAAATCAATCATCTGGAAGCTGTCATCTATCTAGATGCCTTGGATTATCTCAGTCGTGGTTAAGATGAAGTGAAGCTACTAACTTTATATCATCTTCTGCCATAAAGCACTATGATGCTTTAAAAAATGCAGAAACATTCAATTGCTGTTCCTTTCTTCTGTCTCTTGGCCTGCCCTGAATTTATGCTACCCCAGCAGCTAAGTGGATGCCAACACATGCCTGATCTTGCATAATCTTGCTTTTCTTTTGGATGTCCATTCTCCAGCCCCTTGCAGGATGAGAGGGAGATGATGCAATGTCCTGACCAAAACAAGGTCTGAAAGAAAAGACAACGGCTCCTGACAGCTGGACCAGTTTCAAGTTATAATTGGCTAAGACAGGGAGGGCTTTCATTAGTTTTCAACAGGAGGTCTAGAGTTGCTGGAAATTGGGCAGTATATAAATATAATTTATTGTTGTCAATTGCACCATCAGCCAGATGTTTAGACTGGATTTGGCACTTTTATTTACCTATCAAGTCTTTCCCAAGGACCAGAGATGTTGTTGTGTGATGGTGTTAAAAGTATTGTTGCAGAATGTGAGTTGTTCCAAGGAAAGCTGCCTTTTTTGCAATTGACTGATGGCGATTTTGTCAATGCTGATGGTGCTCCAGAAGTTTTGGAATTGCACACAAGATACCTATCAGAATGCAGTATTGCAGGCAAACTCTGCCCACTGTCAGGAGTTCGATCCTGACCAGCTCAAGGTTGACTTAGGGTTTTGCTGTTCTAGCCAAGGAGGCCAGCTTAGTACATGGTTTGCCATGCTGATTCTCAGAGAGCAATTATGATCAGCTTGCACTCAGCTGGAGAAATGCTGCAGATTTTTTTTTTTTTTTTTTAAAAATATGTTCCCCTTTGATCCAACTTTTCTCTTTTCCTTTGTGGGATAGTACTTCCCTTTCATGTTGGCACACTTATTGGCAACCTCTGATCACTGCCTCGGTGGTCTGAGATGGCTTATCTCTCCCTCCTTTGTGTCTCTCCAGGTTCTCTACCACCTTTTTGAAGAGTTTGCCAACTTTGATAAAGTCACCCTTACGGACATCATCTTGGGCTTCCTGAGCTTCTTTGTGGTGTCCCTGGGGGGCGTCTTTGTCGGGGTTGTCTACGGCATCATCGGAGCCTTCACCTCCCGTTTCACCTCCCACATCCGGGTCATTGAACCTCTTTTCGTCTTTCTGTATAGTTACATGGCATATCTGTCTGCAGAAGTCTTCCACCTTTCAGGCATCATGGCGTAAGTATTAGACTGAGATGGCAGCAAATGATGTCCCTCAAGTATTTTGGACTTGGGCTCTTATCAGTCCCAATTAGCATAGTAGTTTGGAAGGGACTGTAGGAGTTGTAGTCCATTCATCTGAAGGGGAAATGGATTGCCTGCCCCTGCTGTAAAAATTAAACTATAATGAGTTCGTGGACATTCGTGGCAGCATCTAGTGATTCCCCAAAACTCTGCAGAGCTCTGCCTGTTTAGTATTTGGATGGAAGATCACAATGACACATCAGAGCTGTAGGCTAGACTGCAAACTTGGGGCGGGGGGGGGAGGGAACATCCTGCAAACCACTTTTGCATTGTTGTTATGTCCATGAAATTCCTAGGAGTTGAGGTTGACTTTAGATCGCAACCTTTAGATCAGGGGTCTCCAAACTTGGCAACTTTAAGATTTGTGGACTTCAACTCTCAGAATTCCCCAGCTAGCCTTAAAATTGCCAGTTTTGGAGCCCTCTGCTTTAGATCATAGACAGCTAACTTATTTTAAGGTATTTATTTATTAAATGTATTTATTAGAATTACAACCTCTCTTTTCTCCAGGAACTTGATTTGCATTCATGTACTTTCTCCTTCATGATAGTTGAAATGAGAGAGAGAGAGAGAGAGAGAGAGAGAGAGAGAGAGAGAGAGAGAGAGAGAGAGAGAGAGAGAGAGAGACTGGTTCAAAGTCACCTAGACACTCAGTCAGTTATAAACCTATCTCAATAAATAGTAAATAACATTTTAAGATAAAATTAAAATATATTTGTAAAATAACCTGACTGGAATCCATGTGTGAGGTCCAAAAGAAGCAATCTATGTCTAGGTTATAAAATAGTCTCTAAAATTATATAAAATGTGATAACATCTGAAATTACAAAAATATGATAGGATCTAAACTGTAAATAAAATGCGATAGTTTATTATTGTACAGTTACAATAATAGTCACAAAATAAAAAGACTTACGAGCAGAAGTAGAACCAAAATGGCAAAAGAAAGCAACGTAAAAAGCCAATAGTAATAGGGTCCAATCCGAAACATTTGGAGCACCACTTGAACATCATTAGCATTGAAAAATCAGGGTCAATCAACTGCAAAAGCAGCTTTACTTGGAACCCCTTACATCCTGTATAATACCTTTAATACAATTAAACAACAGCATCTCCCTATCCCAGGTTCCAAAGAAAGACTCAATAGGTGGACACAAATGCCACAAAAATTCTTGGCCTTCTTTGCATTTGGTGCCTCCTACTCTGTGTCCTGTTCTTACTGAGTTTCTGAATGCGGCCATCTATCTTTGGCTTTAAGCCCGATATGACTCATAAGGTAACCATATTTGGATCTTCCTGCCCTAAAGTTGTAATCTGCACACATCTGTTGAGAAAGGGCTACAAATAGTTCTCAACTTATGACTAGTTCCAAAGTTCTGACATCTGCTGCTCCCCCTGGTCATGTGACCATATTTGGGCACTTGGCAATTGGCTCACAGTAATGGCTGTTTGCAGCAGCCTATGGTCACCTGACCACAATTTATGATGTTTCTGCTGGACATTGCCATTTATTTCCAGTTTTCAGCAAAATCACCCCATAGCCAACAATGGGTCCACTTAATGACTGCAACATTCACTTTATAACCACAGCATTCATTTAATAACCACCACAAAAAAGTCACAAAATCAGGTCTGATCATGTGGTAACTTACTTTACAGCCCTCATGATTTATGACTGAAATAGTGGACTTATGGTCATAAGTCAAAGGCTACCTTAACTATGGCTTTTAAAATGCACAGATATAGCAACTCATATTTCCCCTCTGAACTCCAGGGGTGAAGTAACTGAGCACAGTGGAATTTTGCCCAACGGCAGTGTAAATAATAATAATAATAATAATAATAATAATAATAATAATAATAATAATAATAATTGGGCGCAATCCCAAAACAACTGGAGCACCACTTGAACACCATTGGCATTGACAAATTTGCTATTAGTCAATTGCAAAAGGCGGCCTTATTAGGAACTGCTTCCATCCTGCGACGATACCTGTAATACCATCAAACATCTACATCTGCCTATCCCAGGTCCTGGGTAAGGACTCGATAGGTAGACAAAATGCCAAATCCAGTCTGAACATCTGGCTGACTGTGCGATGATTGATAATAATAATAATAATACATAATAATAATAATAATAATAATAATACAGATAATAATAAAACCTGGCAATGGCTAAGAGCAGGAAAATTGAAGAAAGAAACCGAAGGATTAATTCTGGCTGCACAAGACCAAGCTTTAAGGACAAATGCATACAAAGTCAAAATTGAGAAGACAGCAACAGACAGTAAGTGCCGCCTATGCAAAGAAGCTGAAGAAACAGTGGACCACTTGGTAAGCTGTTGCAAGAAGATTGCACAAACTGATTACAAGCAGCGGCATGACAAAGTAGCAACAATGGTGCATTGGAAGATCTGCAAAAAATATCATTTGCCTGTAAGCAAAAACTGGTGGGATCATAAAATAGAGAAAGTCATAGAAAATGATAAAATTAAACTGCTCTGGGACTTCAGAATTCAAACAGACAAGCACCTGCAACATAACACCCCAGACTTAACAATTGTCGATAAGAAAGACAAAAAAAGTCTGGATAGTGGACGTGGCAGTGCCTGGAGATAGCAGAATAGAAGAGAAAGAACTGGAGAAGATAACAAAATACAAAGACCTACAAATAGAAATAGAAAGACTGTGGCAAAAGCAAGCAAGGTAGTACCAATAGTGATAGGCTCTTTGGGTGTAATCCCAAAACAACTGGAGCGCCACTTGAAAAACAATTGGCATTGACAAATTTCGAATTAGTCAATTTGCAAAAGGCGGCCTTACTAGGAACTGCTTTCCATCCTGCGGACGATATCTGTAATACATCAAACAATAACATCTGCCTATCCCAGGTCCTGGGTAAGGAATCTTGATAGGTAGACAGAAATGCCAAATCAGTAGTTCTGAACATACTAGGCTGACTGTGAGATGATCAAGAATAATAATAATAATAATAATAATAATATAATAATAATAATAATAATAATAATAAAGTTGGAAGGGACCTTGGAGGTCATCTAGTCCAATCCCCTGCTCAGGCAGGAAACCCTATACCATTTCGGACAAATGGCTGTCCAGTCTCTTCTTAAAAACTTCCAGTGTTGGAGCATTCACTGCTGGAGGCAGGTTGTTCCACTGGTTAATTGTTCTAACAGTCAGGAAGTTTCTCCTTAGTTCTAAGTTGCTTTTTCTCTTTGGTTAGTTTCCATCCGTTGCTTCTTGTCCCCAACTTATGGCCATGATTGAAACCAAAATTTCTGTTGGTAAGCAAGTTAAGTAAACCCAGCTTCCCCTTATTAACTTTACATATTGAAAGGCGGCTGGGACAGTTCGCAAATGGGACGTTACAACCTGTCATAAGTACATAGCAGTTGCCAAGCCCTCCCTATTTTGATCATGTGACCTTAGAGATACTGTGGTGGTCATATGTATGAGGTCTGGTCATAAGTCCCTTTTTTTCCAGTGCCGTTGTAACTTTGAACGGTCACTAAACAAGTGGTTGTAAATCAAGGACTATTTGTATTAGGTTGTATACAGTTGATGTAACAGGCAGATGTCCTTCCCTTGAAAGGCAACTTGCATTCTGCAAAGGCAGAGGACAAGGCAGTGGTGGAATTCAGCCAGTTCGCACCAGTTCAGCAGAACCGGTAGCTAATTTTTTATTGCCCAGGCCCAGAATGGACTTCCAGAAGCGGCATCCACATAGAGAACCGGTTGTTCACATATTTGAATCCCACCACTGGGACAAGGGCTTTTCTTCTCTGGCCTGACTGCAAGAAGAAGGACTTTTTGTTTTTAGTTGATCTCCCAGCACCAATGAAGTATGTTGCCTCTCCTCCATTTTGTCACCCAATTCCCTTGGAGGCATGCAGAACAGCAGCTTTTCTGCCAAGCTTGTGGAATGACTCATCCCCAGACTCCATTGCTGGCGGATGCCAGATACTGTCAGCAGAATCCGGCGAGAAAACCTCCCTCATTATAAAACCAACAGAGGCAGAAACTCCAACCTAGTCAGGGCCATAAAAAGTGGTGGAGTGGGGGACGGCGGGCGACAGTGGGGGACACAACCTTTTGGATTCAGCTATACTTGGCTCTGTCTTACTGATGCGCTTCCCTTAGGAATGTGGGTGAGTCATTGTGGATCTACTGCTGAGCAGTAAGCTTGACTCACCCTGATTAGATGGGTAAAGAAATGCAGAAAAATTGCTGGGGGTGGGGGCAACATGTTTCCAGTTCAGCTTTTTCTGCCCCCCCCCCAGACAGCTGGTGGAGGTGAATTGGAAGGTAGGTTTCTCTTTCTGTCTCTCTTTTTTGACCAGTTATTTTTATTTTTGTTATTAGCCATTTGAAATAAAAGATAAGCAAAAAGGTAAAGGACTAAAATACAAATGAATAAACACACAATTTAAACGTCATCCAGAAATAGTATATCCTTAGGTGGTGAGCAAGTGAAGAACCCATTAAATCATTTGGAAAGATTAAAATTTGTTATTAAGCTCTGAGCTAAAGGAACATATGGGTGTCTGGGCTGCGTGTGAAGCCATGGGAAGGTTACTTCCTCTAGCAGCATATTTTAATCTTGCGTAAGGTTTAGAGGAAAGTTGTCTCCCACTCACTCAACATGTAGGCAGTTCCTGATTGCCAGTGAACAACTGAATCAGTGTTTCTCAACCTTGACCATTTTAAGGCATGTGGACTTCAACTCCCAGAATTCCACAGCCTGGCTGTGGAATTCTGGGAGTTGAAGTCCACATGCCTTAAAATGGTCAAGGTTGAGAAACACTGCACTAAATGAACGCTTAACACAAAATTGTATATTAAGGCTCATTTTTGAGTGGTGTAGACAGGTCCTGCAAGCATTCCTCTCTCCATCCTTTCCTTGCAAGTGTGATTGTCTGGCGGCATGGAATACCTTCTTCTCCACCGGGGATGCTGGTGGTCTCTGTGATCTTCCCATAGCTCATTTCTCTCTTTCTTGCAGGCTGATTGCTGCAGGGGTAGTGATGCGCCCGTATGTGGAGGCCAATATCTCCCACAAGTCCCACACCACCATCAAATACTTCTTGAAGATGTGGAGCAGCATCAGTGAGACCCTTATCTTCATCTTCCTCGGCGTCTCCACCGTGGCTGGAAACCACCATTGGAACTGGGCCTTCGTCGTTTGCACCCTGATTTTCTGCTTGATTGCCAGGGTTTTAGGTCTGGACATGTTCTGAATTGGAAAATGAGGCTGGGGTGATGAAGGAAAGTTACTGGTTACCTCCTTTAAAGCCCTAGGTGGCTTGGGGCCTGATTATTTGAAGACCCACCTCTCCTTAGTTAGCATCCACCCAGCCCACTAGAATGCGAAGGCAAGGAGCTAGAACTGAGAAGGAAATTCCTGACAGTTAGAACAATTGATCAGTGAAACAACCTATCTCCAGAAGTTGTGAATGCTCCAACACTGGAAGTTTTAAAGAAGAGATTGGACAGCCATTTGTCTGAAATGGTATAGGGTTTCTTGCCTGAGATGGGGGGTGGACTAGAAGACCTCCAAGGTCCCTTCCAACTCTGTTATTCTAAGGTCTATTGTGGGTCCTTATTTATTAGGGAAGTACACCTTGTGGGATCAGGATAAAGGGCCTTCTCTATAGTGGCTCTCTCCCTGGGGAATATCATTCCCTCAAAGATAAGATTGCCCCCCACCATAGTACTTTTCTGGAAGATGTGCTTTTGTCAGTGGTTGACAAAACCTCTGACAAAAGACCCCTGGTTGATACAGAGGCAATCAGGTGGCCGCTGAGGGGGATGGAGGGTTTATGGGTTTTAAAACTGTGACATTTTGGTATTGTAAGCTGCCTGGGTCACTTTGTGTTCCGATTCACTTAATAAGCTAAATAAATTAATAAAAATGCCACTGGCAAACTCTCCTGCAAGCTTTTACAGGAAGTGTCCAGGCATAAAATGGACAGAGAGAGAACATGTTGTCACCTAAATTGCACCCAGAATAGAGGGGATATAGAGGCCACTGTGTGCAGCAGGGATGTTCCTCTGCCTCAGAGAAATGCTTAGGAAACAAGCTGGGTTTGTACAACATACTATTAGAGTATGAGAGTAGTCCCATGGTGAGATAGGTGGCAAATAAATTGAATGAGTGAGTGAGTGAAAGAAAGAATGAATAAATGAATGAATGAATGTTAGACTTTGCATGCTATGTGTATGGGGCCACTAACCTTGTATCTGATTTAGTGTACATGCACTGTGTGAACAGTGTGATTTGAACCCCTGAAAAAACAAAGATCAAGAGCTCTGTATGTGTCAACAGTGCTGTTAGGTAATCTGTGCCTCTCTGTTTTTTCAATCTTTGTTCAGGTGTGCTGGGGTTGACGTGGTTCATCAACAAATTTCGCATTGTGAAGTTGAGCCCAAAGGATCAGTTCATCATTGCCTACGGTGGCCTGCGAGGGGCCATTGCCTTCTCTCTCGGCTACCTCCTGGAACATCAGCATTTCCCAATGCGAGACATGTTTCTCACAGCAATCATCACAGTGATATTCTTCACAGTCTTTGTGCAGGTAGACCTGTCTAGCCTCTTCGTTTGCCATCCTTCTAACAACCTTCACAGTCCAGTACCTTCAGTCTGGATTTTTGAGTGCCTGTGCAGAAGTAAGATCTGTGATTTCTCCTTTTCCTCCACATCTTCATTTATTAAAAATCAGCAGGAATCTGGTAGCACCGTTACTGATTAGCACATTTTATACAAAGGTATAAGCTTTCATTAGCTGCCCCTCACTTCCGTCAGTTGTCTAGACTGGGCTAATGTAGCATTTAAATTGAGGTGAGTTTTGGGGAAAAGGGAAGAGAAGACAGGGTGGCTATGTAAATTATATATGAGACAGATTACTGGTACTCTGTTAATTAACCCTAACCAATCCTCATCTCTCCCCAGTATAAAGCCTAGATCAGTTAAACTACTTATGCATCTGATGAAGCGAGCTTAAGCTGCCGCTCTCGCAATTAAATGACAATATAAAATATTAAGGAGGCATGGCCTAGCAATTAAGATGCTAGGCTTGTTGACTAGAAGGTTGGCAGTTCAAGATCCAAGTACTCTAAGATGCAAGAGCTCCCGTTCCTTGCCCCAGCTCCTGCCCACCTAGCAGTTTGAAAGCATGCAAATGCGAGTAAATTAATAGGTACCACTTCAATGGGAGGGTAACAGCGTTCTGTGTGCCACAGCATATAATCATACTGGCCCCGTGACCACAGAAGCATCCTTGGACAACTTTGGCTCCCTCGGCTAAGAAACAGAAATGACCATGTCCATAAGTCATGGTAGTGCAATGATTAGAATATAGTACTGTAGCTGCTGACTGCCAGCTGCCTGAAGTTTGGCAGTTCGATTCTCACCAGTTCAAGGTTCACTCAGCCTTCCATCCTTCCAAGGTTGGTAAAATGAGGACCCAGATTGTTGGGGGGCAATATGCTGACTCTGTAAACCTCTTAGAGAGGGCTGAAAAGCATTGTGAAGCAGTATAAATGCTATTGCTATAGTGCAGGGGTGTTAAACTGCCTGCCCATGGGCCGGACGCATCACACGCCCCCCCATTGCCAGCAATGGCAAAACAGTCCCGATATGTTGCGTGACATCACGTGACGTCGCGGGTTTGACATGTCTGCTATAGTGAGACACAAATGGACAGGGGAAATCTTTACCTTATAAAAGTTTAAATGGATATTAACATTAAAATTAACAAAGATAACTAAATAAAGAACCTATATACATCTGGGCAGAGATAGAGTCTTCTCTTAATCCAGTAACCGTCTTCAGGCCATTGGCAGAGCCAGGTTTTAAGGCTCTTTGAATAAAATGTGTTAGAAAAGATACCACCAGATTTTTTGGGATTTAAGGCTCCTGAAGACAAACCCAGTTGTTCTCCTACAGTGTCATAAACACATGAAATCAAGTTTCCTTTGAGTTGAGCTTGACTCCTGAGACTGCAAAAACATGTTTGTGTGACTTTCCTAGCAATAGTGCAGAAGTGGCTTGTCACTGCCCTCTTCTGGGATATTGCTTCAACTTTTTAGTCTAATCTACAGGCCTGGGATTTCCTGATGGATTCCTTTCCAAGTGCTAGAGTCCAGTGTTTCTCAACCTTGACAATTTTAAGGCATGTGGACTTCAACTCCCAGAATTCCACAGCCAGCATTGCTGGCTGTGGAATTCTGGGAGTTGAAGTCCACATGCCTTAAAATGGTCAAGGTTGAGAAACACTGTGCTAGATGGATGTCATCAAAGATCAGCTAATGTTTGCTGGGTAGAGTCACCTAGCTTTACTCTCAATAAAGAATGTTTCTGGGAGTCACTGTATTAATTACACCTTCTGGCATTCATGCTTTGTATACTTATGTGTATAGTTCTTTAGTGGTACTCATAAAATGCAATATGGATTGAATATATGAAACATCAGAAATGACTTGAAAATAAATTTACCTTTGATGATTTTGAGGTCATATTCACCTCACTCCACAAGCTGATTTCTAGAGGGTGGGAAGCTCGTTTGAACAAAGACTTGCAAAGATGTACATGTTTCACCAGATCTCCAGTGTGCTTCAGGGATGACCCGATGATACTTATGGTGATCCTCAACGACTCATGGAATAGGACAGGGATCTCCAAACTTGGTAATTTTAAGACTTGTGGACTTCAGCTCTGAGAAAAGCATGGCTGGCTGGGGAATTCTGGGAGCTGAAATCCACAAGTCTTAAACTTGCCAAGTTTGGAGACCCCTGGAATAGGAGAACAAGCTCAGCCACTGCTACAGAAGCAGGGCCAACAAAGTGTTTGGGAAGAGCATTTATGAAGGAAATTGAAAAATGAACTGACTTTGGGTATGGCTGGTGGAATTTAACTTGGCTTGTCTGTCTGCAGGGCATGACCATCCGTCCGCTGGTGGATCTTCTGGCAGTGAAAAAAAAGCAGGAGACCAAGAGATCTATTAACGAGGAAATTCACACTCAGGTGATAGTTCTCTTCTAGCTGCTGCAAAGCGTCTCTGTGAAGCAGGGGTCTTCAAACTTGGCTCTTTTATGACTTGTGGACTTCAGCTCCCAGAATTCCTCAGCCAGTGTGCCTGGCTGAGGAATTCTGGAAGTTGAAGTCTATAAGTCATAAAAGAGCCAAGTTTGAAGACCCCTGCTGTGGAAGTGTATGTGCGAGTGCAACTGTAATCAGCTGTGTTAATGTTTCTGTGAAATATCATTTTTATATATTTTAAAAATGGAGGGTAACATTTTCTACATTATTTTTCACAACGTTCAACATTTTAAAGATTTTACTACAGGCAGTCCTCAATTTACAACCACAATTGGGGCTGGAATTTTACAACCATATTTACCAGGGTCATTAAGGGAATTGCCACAATCGTTAAGTGAATCACATGGCAAGCAAGGTTGTAAAATGGGGCAAAAGTCACTTAAGAACTGCCTTGCTTAGCAATAGGGCTCAATTACAACGTAAATCAAGGACTACCTGTATTTAGGTGCCATCAAGTCGGCATCAGCTCCTGTTGACTGCTGTATGGAATTCTTGACTACCCTGGCCAAACTTTTCTTATAGCTGGAAATTCTTCCAGGGATAGTTCTGTAATCTGATTGATCCCAACCTTATCTATTGTTTATTCCTTGTGCTTTCCTTAACCTTGCCAAACTATCTTTCTCGTCCGTCAGCCATTATATCCCATATCTCAATTATGTGGTTTTCTGCAGGGAAAGTCAAGCTTTATGTGGTCCAGAATTCACTGGTTTTTCTCATAATTCATGGTATTCACAGTCCTTTTCATACTTACAATTGGAAGGTGTCGTTCTTCTCGAGAGAAGGCAATGTTCAATAAATGAACAATAAATGCATCATTGTTGCTTTTGAAATAGTTCCTGGATCATCTCTTGACGGGGATTGAGGATATATGTGGCCACTATGGACATCACCACTGGAAAGACAAGTAAGTGTCACCTGAGCAGAAGAAACAAATAAAGAAAAAAATGATTGAAATACTTATTTTGTTGTCTTTGTACAGGTTTTTTTTTCTCAGGTCAGTTTTTAGTTAACTGTTTTGAAAATTTGTTACCATAATATTTACTTTTCCCTGCTTCTAAATAAATACAGCAACCTGGACTACAGGTAGTCCTCGACCTACAGCCATTCGTTTAGTGACAGTTTGAAGTTATGATGACGCTGAAAAAAGTGACACGATCGTTTTCCCCACTTTCGACCATTGCAGCATTTGGTCACGTGATCAAAATTCAGACATTTATTTATTTATGAGACTTATATACCGCTTTAAGTGCAAGCACTCTCTAAGCCAGTGGTTCTCAACCTTTCTAATGCCGCGACCCCATAATACAGTTCCCCATGTTGTGGTGACCCCCAACCACTTATACATCACCAGGTGCCAGGGGCGTGGCCAAAGAAAAGGGGAAAAAATGGTGGATAGCCTTGTTTGGCGACCCCCGTGAAATGGTCGTTCGACCCCAAATGGGGTCCCGACCCACAGGTTGAGAACCACTGCTCTAAGCAGTGTACACCAGTAAGCAATGTATATATATATATTTACATTGCCCCCAACAATCTGGGTCCTCATTTTACCTACCCCGGAAGGATGGAAGGCTGAGTCAACCTTGAGCCGGTGAGATTTGAACCGCTGACCTGCTGAACACAATCAGCTAAAGTGGCCTGCAGTACTGCACCCTAACTGCTGCGCCACCTCGGCAACTGGCATGTACTTATGATGGCTGCAGCGTCCCAGGATCACCTTCTGCCACCTTCTGGCAAGCAAAGTCAACGGGGAAGCCAGATTCACTTAACAACCATGCTACTAACTTAATAATGGCTGTGATTCCCTTAACAACTGTGACAAGAAAGATTGTAAAATGCACGGAAAGTTTGTGCTCAATCGTGGTCATAAGCTGAGGACTACCTGTAGAACTTTTTGAGTGCTGCCTTTGTCTATATCCCATCTTCCACTCTTTTCTCTCCCTGATCATGCCTCTCTGTTGTATGATTTCTCCAAAGGCTAAACCGTTTCAACAAGAAATATGTGAAGAAGTGCCTGATTGCTGGGGAAAGATCCAAAGAGCCCCAGTTGATCGCCTTCTATCACAAGATGGAGATGAAGCAAGCTATTGAGCTGGTGGAAAGTGGGGGGATGGGCAAGATCCCCTCCGCTGTCTCTACTGTTTCGATGCAGTAAGTAGCAATTTTGAAATCGTGGCTGGAAGGTTCCAGTTGATTTAGGTAGCCCTTGCCTTCTGACTGACTCATTTAGCAACCATTAGAAGTTACAATGGTGTAAAAAAAAAAAGTTTGTGACCAGTCCTCTATTTACAACCATGCAGTATCCAGAGGTCATGCGATAACCTAGGGGTAGTCAACCTTGGGTCTTTTATGACTCGTGGACTTCAACTCCCAGAATTCCTGAGCCAGCTGTGCTGGCTCAGGAACTCTGGGAGTTGAAGTCCACAAATCATAAAAGAGCCAAGGTTGACTACCCCTGCGATAACCATTCATATGCTTCACAATTGGCTTGCAACAAGCAGAGTTAATAGAGAACTCAGACTTAACCAAGGCAGGAACCAATCCTTTTCATCTTGCAGGAATATCAATCCGAAAACATTGCCAGTAGAACGCATTTTGCCAGCTCTGTCAAAGGACAAAGAGGAGGAGATTCGAAAAATCTTGCGCAACAACTTACAAAAAACCAGGCAGAGGGTAAGTGCAAGGACTTTTTCATAGCCAATTTTTTTTTTTAAATTGCAGTAGATTTTCTCCTCCTGTGCTTCCTCATTCCACCTTTGAGCCTTCCGCTCAAGCAGAAACATAGTTCAGTAATGCAGAGAGATCATTGCTAACCTCCCATTAGCCAAGAGGTAGACGCTGAGGATGGACTTTGGGGTAGCGGGTAGAAAGCATTGCCAGATGCGCTTCGTACAATGGTTAATAACATACACAATAGGCAATCAGCAGCCCACCAAATGTTAGAAGATTCATTTCCTATTATCCTTGATGGCTAAAGACTCCTTGATAGGTGTTGCAAGCATTTGGAAAACTGCATGTTGCCTGCTTTTTAATTCTTGGAATTAAATCCTGGAGTCAATTGTATTGACTTTCCTAGAGATTTGTTGTAGAAACCATACTTTTTAAACAGGCAGTGAGCATCTGCCTCTCAGTCTACCTTCTGTTGCTTTCCATTCCAGTTGCGGTCATATAATCGACACACCTTGGTAGCAGATCCTTATGAAGAAGCCTGGAACCAGATGTTGCTGAGAAGACAGAAGGCTCGGCAGCTGGAACAGAAGGTGGAAGGGCGGAAAGGTGGAATCTGGGGAGGTTGGGAGAGGAACCTTGTGAGGTTCTAGATAAGGGTTTACTCTTCAGTGACTGGCAAATGTTGAGCCTATTTCAAGATCCATCTTTGTGGATGAGCAAAATTTTCCATGCATAATAAGCTCATTTATACACACATAACACAGGGACACAAACTTTTCAAACTGCTCCCACTATCTGGGGCTCTTGCCTCTTCTAAATTGAAACTACTGCAGATAAAGGATGCTCCAGAAATCTGAACTGGGCTGGACTTCCGAAATTGGGTTTTTTTAACACATGCCCGTGTGTTTCTGATTCCAGATGAACAACTACCTGACAGTGCCAACACGTAAAATAGATTCACCAACCATGTCAAGGGCACGCATTGGTTCAGGTAAGTGGAAAGATTAAGGGGGAGACTTTGGACCCAGCACCTTCATTTTTTTATGTCTGACTGGTCTGCTTTAATGTAAAGAATAGGGAACTTATTTATCTCCATCTTCCAGTATAGGTGATGGTGAGAAGTTGTATTTCAGCAACATTTGGAAACTGTGGGTAGGTGTGATGGAATCTCCAGCTAGAGTTGGGGGAGGAGTTATGAGACTGACGAGCTGTGTGTCCCTGCAGGGGAGAGAGTGATGGATACCTGCCCCCCCCCCCAAATCCCTGATGCCTTTTGTGATTGTTTGCCAGAGAGTGAAGTTAAGTCTGGGGATATTCTTCTAAATAAGCAAGTAGCAATGAAGAAACTTTCTGATCAGCTCATGGTGTTGTTCTGGTTCCTTATGCCTCACAGTGGGTAGTATGACATAATTAGGAAAATGATTTTCCTGATATATTGGAGCAGAGAAAAATGATTCTGCTACTTGAGTGGCTCTTTCCTTTAACTCCACTTATCCTTTGCCTTCTTCTGTAGACCCTCTTGCTTATGACCCAAAGATGGATTCCGAGAACATCCCCATCATAACTATTGACCCAGCGTCCCCCCAGTCGCCGGAGTCTGTTGACTTGGTGAATGAGGCGCTGAAAGGGCTGAACCACCTTCCACCCTCCCCGGAGGAAGATGAAGATGAGGAGGGATTGGTGATGAAGGTCAAAGAGCCATCTTCTCCAGGCACAGATGACGTCTTCACTCCTGGGACAGGCGATAGTCCCAGCAACCAGCGGATTATGAGATGTCTGAGTGATCCAGGGCCTCGGCCAGATCCTGAAGAGGGGGAACCCTTTATCCCCAAAGGGCAGTGAGCCTTGATATGCACTACTAGACCTAACCTGTAGGGGAGGCTCTTGCACTCATGTGCAAATACACACACCCAGTTATGCCAGTCTCTATTTCTTTGTGTCTTTCTCTTCTCTGTCTCCTTCTCTTCAGTGCGGGAGCTTTGCTAGAAGGCAGCAGAGAGCACCTAAATGGAACATACTTTGTGACCAGAAGCAGTAGGTCTAGAATTAACTCAGATTCCATATCCAAGGTTGGGAATGCTAGTCATTCTATCCAGAGAAGACTATCTCCTCCTGGATACTAGCATGCTCTGACTCACTGTTGCCTTCTCCACTGGCAACTGCTCCTCCTTGTTTACTCCCGAGAAACATCTTTGCTATAATTCCCTCCTCCCAGTTTTGAAACACACCAGAAGAGCTGAGGACCTTTGGGTGCTCAGATATATCAGATAGTGCTGCAGGATGTCCTGCATAGTTACTGGATGATCATGTTTCTAAGATTTTTTTTAAAAAAACTGAGCCAGTGACTTCCATACATCGTTTCCAACCTCAGATGTAATGCATGTTTCCTCTCTTTTCTTCTAAGCAGTAAAATTTATAAGTTTCTTTTTGTGGGCTTCTTTTTAAATCCCATAAGCCATAGATAATTGTTCTAAATTGTTGGCGTTCCAAATCTAGCATCACAGGTTTTGCCTTATTTTATGGTTGTAATGATTTTTTTTTTCATTTTGATACAAATGAGCAGGTTAACCGTAACCAAAGATCGCCCTTGTACCAATTTTGAACATATGGCTAAGGAGGTATGGGCACATGATGTCCAGCTCTCCATTTAGTTGATTGGATTCCATTTGGCCATCCAAATAAGAAGCTGATTAAGGTTCTGCAAATGGATTGTGCCACTATTCTCACAGGGAATTATAGCATTGCAATCCAGCACATCTGGAGGATGCCAGGATGATGTGTCCTTCTCATTGTCCTTGCTGGAAGCTAGGAGATTTCAGTTAAAACATGTGTTCACACAGCCCATGTGCAACTCCAAAGGCATGTTTTGACCAAAGATGAATATGTGGTTTTACATATAGGACTGCTTTATTTTTACTTTTTTAGTTTTTAACAATAGCGTAATCATGTCTTGAAAAGATTCTAAATTCCATGGAAGGCACTAACCAGAGTAGGCAACCTTGGCTCTTTTATGACTCGTGGACTTCAGGTCCACGAGTCATAAAAGAGCCAAGGTTGCATACCCTTGCACTAGGATGTCAGTGAGGAACTATCCTACTATGTCTGGGGACAGCGATAGTATATTTATGACACAGGTTCCCTTTCTCTCTTTTGTCTAAAACAGTGTTTCTCAACCTTGTCCATTTGAAGATGTATGGACTTCAACTCCCAGGATTCCCCAGCCACTCATGCTGGTTGGGGAATTCTGGGAGTTGAAGTCCACACATCTTCAAGTGAACAAGGTTGAGAAACACTGGTCTAAAAAGCTTCAATTTTTCCCTGCCTGTCAGTTGAGAGCATGAAACAATATTAGGTAACTGGTTTGGCCCTCACCATCTAGCAATATTTGGCACAGAGAAGATGAGATGCTACCTAGCCTTCTTTCCTTTTCTCAATACTTATCTCAGTCAGAATAATTCTGGCTTTTCTTCCCATCCTTTTCTTTTCTGGTCCTCGGTGGGTTTATTCTGCTCTCCATCCAATCTTCATTCTCCATAATTCATTAGTTTTATTCCATAATAGACATCTTCTTTCTAGGAGGTGACCTTCTAATCAATAAAAGGTAATCCTTGACTTACAGCTGTCATAAGTTGAGGACTAATTAGAATAGAGCTGGACGGGACCTTGGAGGTCTTCTAGTCCAACGTCCTAGTCAACGTTCTGTGGGAGACCCTATACCAGGGCTTTTCAACCAGTGGTATGGGTACCACCTGTGGTACATTGGCACCTGGCAGGTGGTACGCAACCATCCTAGAAAAATAGCAGGGGAGGGGAATGAGCTAAACCGGTGGCAGCACTGCACAAGCCTGAGCGAGAGATGGCTGGAGCTGCAGGGCTGTCAGGGCTCAGCGGAAGCGCCAGGATCAGCGCTTCTTTGGGACTGTCAGGGCTCAGTGGAAGCGCCAGGATCAGCGCCAGGCTCCATCTGGAGCTCGGCGCTGATCCTGGCGCTTCTGCTGAGTCCAGAAGAAGCGCCGATCAGCTGGAATGTTGCAGCATTTCCAGGATCTTGTGATTTACATTCAGATGATTGGCAACTGATTCATATTTATGACGGTCACAGTGTCCCAGGGTCATGTGAAGTGACCAAAACCTGCTGCAACCACCCAGCAGACGGGGGAGGGGGATAAAAACCAAACATCCCCTACCCCACTCCTGCTGCCAATCCTCAACAGAAATGCTCACAACAATAAAAACCTCAGACAGGAGGAAGAGCGCCGCCAGGCGGGCCGGCAGGTGTCTTGCTTAGCTGTGGCTTGGGGGCACTTTTTTCAGTGCCATTGTAACTTCAAACAGTCTCTAAGCAAACTGTTGTAAGTTGAGGACTACCTGTACTTTTATCACTTTTTTCCTTTTTTTTTTTTGGGTCATCAAGTTTTTGACACCTTGCTTGGCTAGGCGACGGGTGGTACTCGGATGTTGCCATATCCTAAAAGTAGTACAATGGGTGAAAAGGTTGAAAAGCCCTGCCCTATACCATTTCAGACAAGTGACTGTCCAGTCTCTTTCCTTATCATTTCTGTCTCCATCTGGGTTTCTGAGAATTTAACCTCTGACTTTCCCTTCCCTCCTTCCAAATCATGTTTGAATTGTGCCATGGTTATTCTGCAGTCAGAGATAAATACATTAACGTTTGTATGTAATAGCAAAGCTCACGTTCCTGGAAATGGCAGGAATCAGGTATTTCTATCCGGGTGTGGGCTGTTACAAAGAGATGGAGTGGCCTGCAGAGCAAGCAGTTTCTTTTGAGCCCTTTGCAATGAGGAGGAGGATGGAGGAGATGAATGCTTGTTCCTATTTAGTTTTAGCCTAAAATGTAAAATTTGAATGAGTGTGTAATCAGACTGGCCCATACCACTTTGAGATTGCAGGGGAAGATGTTGGCCTGGTTGAAAGCTTCCCTGCATAGAGAATAAAACTTCTGCATGTAGAAAATCACTATGTTGGGAAAGAAGGTTCTTCTGGCCTTGCTTTCTTCCAATAACATGCAAGACATTTAATTATATGGAAAAGCATTTAATAATGCTCCTTTCCATAATCAACCAACTTGATTATGGTCCGCAATGACCTTGACTATAATCTGCCACTTCTTTGTTGTGGCCCTTAGCCAAAGATAGCCTTCCTTGTTCAGGGTTTTACATAGTCCTGTTGCTTAGACCTGAAGATGTAGAGCAGTGGTTCTCAACCTTTTTAATGCCGCAACCCCCAACCGGTCATAAGTCAAGGACTACTCAACCGGTCGTAAGTCGAGGACTACTCAACTGGTGCAGCACCGTTTGCAGAATGGGACTTTTGGCGGCTCAGCAGGGCAGAGACAGCCTGGACAATTCCTATTGGCTTTTGAAAGCCAATAGAATTAGACTCTATTCAAGAGAGTCTATTCTATTGGCTTTCAAAAGCCAATAGAATAAAAGGGAGTAGCACAGCTAAGGAAAAGGGGAAAAAATGGTGGACTGCGTTGTTTGGCGACCCCCGTGAAATGGTTGTTCGACCCCAAATGGGGTCCCGACCCACAGATTGAGAACCACTGATGTAGAGAGTGGGAAAGTCCAGAAAAGAGGCAGAATAACATCTGTTTCTGCTTTCTCCGACATGGTGCTTACCAGATGTTTAAGTGCAACTCCCCTCAGCATCAGCTCATGCTCTCTATGACAAAATACAGAGAAGAAGAGTGGTCCAAAACATCTGGAGGCCTCTAGATTGGGGAATATTGCAATAGAATGTTTCTACTATATGAGGACCATCTCTGGATAGGGAGGTGTAGCACAGCTCTTCAAAGGGAGTAGGAGCCAAATCCCCTTCAGTATAGGGCTGTTGTCCTACCCTGCTTTTATCTCTCTGTCCAGTTATTCCAAAGCGAGACAAGTTGCCTGCTGATTTATTTGTGAAGAGGGTGCACATTGTACTTCTGGTAAGGGAGGGGACATATAAGAAGACAGTGCATATTTGGTATCTATTCTCCACAGTAGATACCAATTCTGGTTTATTGTTAAGTCTGTGATGGAAAGCTGTTTCAAGGATCGTACCCTGTTACAGAGCCATGCTAGTGCCTGCTGATTTTTTTTCAGTAGTACATAGCCGTCCTTTCCTCCTCCAGCCTACTCTACACTCCCCCTCCTACAGTGAAGGGGGTGTTTCCGCCCTCTGCCCCTGTGCTGTGCCTTTTTAGCCATACGGTGTCTGCCTGTGCGAAATGGTGTTGTGCAATTTTGCCTGTTTGTCTGGCCACCATCTGGGCCCCTCTGGGAGGGCTCCTTGCACACCTGTGCACCCTTCCATCCAAAAAAGCGATGAGCTCCCGTTCCCCCTCCCCTCATGGTGCGCTCACAGCTTCCTCTGGGCTGGAAGACCTTTGCACAGCACAGGTGGGGGAAGGGGGCAAAAAGGGAGCCCAGACAGCTTGCTTTTCACAGCTCTGTATTCTCAACTTCAGCTGGGCTTTGCCTCTGTTCTCTGCTTCAGGCCAAGCAGGAACCAGTGGCCTTCAGTAGCCTATATGTGCTTTCATGTACAATACTGTCTCCGCTAGGAGCCGTTTAAAGCAATGAATCTATTGTATAAAATATTGTGTAAAGAGAGTCTTTTTACATAAATATTCTAATAAATGAATGTTTTAATTTTTAATGGCCTGAGGTGAGTCTCTGTCTTTCTCTCCCCGACCCTCTCCACCCTTTTTTTTCTAAAATTCTTGCTCTGGGTTCTGTCAAAGCACATGGGAACGTACAAAATTAGGGGTGGGAATTGCTTTCAGACCAAACATTACTTGGATTGGCAAGGGAACAGCTGTGGAGCCCTGTATTAGTTTGGGTCTCGTCTCCAAATGTTTCATTCTCCAAAATGCATATTTCCCATGCTTTTGAATAGCTTCTAATGGTGGGTCTCAGAGCATTGTAAGCAGCTGGTCTTGGTCTGTGAAACAATCCATTAAGCCAAGAAGCAGACAAAAGTTGTGAGGCCCTTGGAGATCTCTGAGCTTGGTTGTTTTCTAGCAGACATTTCATTACCAAACTAGGTAACATCATTGCTGCTATTGAAACAAAAAAAATTGTACGTTAATGCAGTGTGTAAACTGAACACACACACACACAACTGATTATGTGCCATAAAATTGGTGGCAACTCTTAGCAATCACATAGATTTTCCCCATAACGATCAGTCCTAAATTAGTCCTATAGATCTTCCAATAGTACATCCATTGCCACTGTAATAGCTCTTCCCCATCGCTACTGGTCTTCCCATTCCCTTTCTCTTTCCCTTTCTTTCACAGATTTATATAGCTGCCCAA